TGCCACCAGCCAATGTGTAGGGAACATGTCGCAAAAATTTGTTTCGCCTGTTCCACGCAAATCAATGAATAATTTCATTTGTATATTTATATGTCATATAATAAAGATTTTTGCACTAACTTTATCGTATTACTTGAAAATCACCCAATTTCAACCTCATCGAATAAATATATTTTTTAGGATAATTCGTAATAATGTATTTTTTTTCTTAAAATACAATTTAATATGTTTCAATTTATGTAAATTAAAACCTTATCGTTTTTTTGGAAAATAATTTATTTATTTAAAAAACAACGATTTTTTTTTAATTTTGAAGTTTCTTTCTTTTTTTCAAAATATCTTGGTTTTCGGAAGTTTTATGATATTCTTATCGATATATTCTTTTTCCTTACTGTCTGTTATATCGATTAAAAAAAAGAAGTTAAAATTGATGCATTAGATCCCGAGATAAAAGCAAAAAAAACTCCAGGGTTACCGTAACCCATGTGTGGTGAAATCAGGTGGCGAAAATAGTGTGTTCAAGGGTTAATAATGTTGAAGAATCATACAAGCATTTAAGATTTAGCTAGACCGTTTAAGGCTTTGATTTCTATAGTTTGTGGTATCACATATACGATCCTATATTATATTGTTTAATAAATTATTATTCGATAAGTATTCATTAATATATAAGTATTCGTTTTTCTAGCATATAAATATAATTGTTATATCGTTGGGGATAAAATTGCGTGCTTGTTGGTCCGACATTTTTGTGGCTGGGTTCCCCATGAAGCGACTTTTTTCAAAACTTACGGATTTTTCTACTATATAATAATTTTTTTTTTCATAAAATATTTGAAATAAATTTTCTGATTTTTCACAATTTCGGAAATGTGGGGAACCCAACCACAAAAATTTCGGACCGGCAAACACGCAATTTTATCCACAACGATATAAATGATTAAATATTTATATATTGGAAAAATGAATACTTATACAGGATATCCCACCTAACTCGAACATCTGAAATATCTTTTGTTTGATTTTTATGGTAGAAAAAAATGTTTTAAATGAAAATGGAACGGTTTTTATTCTAGGTGGAAGCGCCAAAAAGATATGAATATCACCTCCATTGTTTAAATGTATAATTTTTTTACACAATATGATTCCTTTAATTATTCTGTATATAAAAGTATTCAGGTAGAGATATAAAATAACTAATAATTTATGAAATATTTTATACCTTCTAGCATATATTGACAAAATGTTAAATGACTCGTAAATTATTAATTTTTTGATAATCATACCTTAATATTTTTATGAACAGAATAATGAGATAAATCAATTGGTGGAAAGAAAACACAGTTGCTTTAAAAAAAGTATGTATGCAAAATGGATAATTTTTTAAATAAGCAACTATGTGTTTTCTTTCCACCAATTGATTCATCTCATTATTCTGTTCATAAAAGTATTAAGGTATAATTATCAAAAAATTAATAATTTACGAGTTATTTAACATTTTATGTCAATATGTGCCACAACAAAGTATAAAATGTCTCGTAAATTATTGATTTCTTGATATTATTACCTTAATACTTTTATAATTATGAGAATCATATTATGTAAAAAGAATTGTACAATTCCATTTAAAAAAATGAAGATGACAATCATACCTTTTTGGCATCTCCATTTAAAAGAAAAACTACATGACTAAAATATGTCTCCTGAAATCGTTCCACTTTCATCTGAAATATTGTTTTCAATCATAAAAATCAACCGAGATGGGTAAATGTTAAGAAAAGGGGAACCACCTTCGATGACCTTGACCTTGACATATGTTGTCAAGGTCGTGATCCTGAGTGACCTTCACCAGGTTTTAGGTGGCGGTCGCTGTCCGTTAAAAAGTTATGAACAAATAAAAGTTCAACTATATAACACGAAAATTCCCTGCTTTAAAATATGTTTGATAGTCGTGCACTGTAGAGGATGCCGCGCCGACAACCGCGACTTTGACATATGTTGTCACGATCATGACCCTGAAAAACCCAACAAGTTTTAGCCGTCGCTTGTTATTCGTTAAAAAGTTATTAACAGTTAAAGTTAGTAATTATTTCACTTCTTTACATGAAAAGTCAGATAACTCTGGGCAGTATGAAGCAGGGGGGAGGGGGGTGAGAGTCGAAGGTGAGAGTCGTGCGTCCCTTTGCAGGGGGGAGGGAGGGTGGAAAGTCATATTCCCTTAATCAGTTCACCCCATACCTCTCTTACTGCCCAGAGTTATCTAACTTTTCATGTAAAAAGGGAATTCTCGTGTTATATATTATAGTTGAACTTTTTTTTTGTATAACTTTTTTTTTATAACTTTTTAACGGACAGTGACCGCCATCTAAAACCTAGCGAAGGTCACTCAGGATCACGACCTTGACAACATATGTCAAGGTCAAGGTCATCGGAAGTGGCTCCTCTTATCTTAACATTTACCCTATTCTCTACGATGGTTGATCTCGCAATAGTTTTATATTTACTTGCCTTTATTATCTTAGTTTTGATAATTGATTTTGATTTTATTCTTACGTTAGTGATTAGTTTACAGTCGTATTGCAACGTTACTTTTCCAGTGTGTGTGATAATCTTATTGACTTCTGGTGGTTCTTCGCATTTAATCGTTATACACCCATATTCATAGTTCTTCCTTGAGGAATGAGGATTCCTTGTTCCTTATTTCATGTTTTATAAACCTTCCTTTACCAAACAAGGAATCTTATTAGCTTCCTTTTCTCAAGGGAAATTACGAGTTTCTTTGAGGAGGAGATGCAGTCTTTGTTAGCGCCAACAGCGTATCATTGTGGCAATCTACTAACAGTGAGTTAGATGCTTTCTATGAAATAAATTATTCAAAATCTGGAAGATTGAATCTGACAAACAACTCTTCGACTGAAACAACCGCCGAGGGCAAAGTGAAGATTACGGCCGACGTATATGGCAAAAACAAAATCATATCTGAACAAAACTTTGCACGTTCCGGACTTACGCACAAATTTAATGTCGGTAAGCAAAATAACGGATGGCGTCTTCAGTGTAACTTTTACGAAAGAGAACGCTAAAGTGTTTGACGCAGACGGAAACGTGAAAATAATTGCGGATAGAGTCGACGATCTATATTTCGCGCGCGAATCTGGACGAGAAAACTCGAAACCAAGCTGCGCGTTATCATCGGCTGAAAAATCTCCAGATCTCCAAAAATGGCACCGTAGACTTGGTCACTTAAACACAAGAGACCTCATCAAGGCACAGCGACATGGAATCATTAATGGCATGAAATTCATTACAAATGTGGAAGAATTCATCTGTGAAGTCTGCCTCCAAGGAAAGATGACTCGCACACCATTCCCGAAGAAATCTAAAAAAACCTCGAATCTTCTCAACCTGATTCATTCGGACGTCTGCGAGCCCATGCGGGTCGAGTCCATAGGGAAGGCGAAGTATTTCATCGAATTTATCGACGACCACTCAAGATGGTGCAAAGTCGATTTCTTACGACACAAAAGCGAAGCCCTTCAGGCAACCAAAGAGTTCATCGCACTCGTAGAGAAACTAACAGGTAAAAACGTTAAACAGTTTCTGATAACGGTTTAGAATTTACAGGCAAGGACTTCGATAAATTCCTGAAAGACAATGGCATCACCAGGCGACTTACAGTCCTGTACAACCCCGAGCAGAATGGGATCTCAGAACGACACAACCGCACCCTTCTGGATATGAACAGATGCTTATTTGTTCAGTCGGGCCTGCTGCCCAAATTCTGGGCCAAAGCAGTCAATACCGCTAACTAAATCCGGAATCGATGCCCATCTAAAAGTCTCAACGGTCTAACACCATATCAGCTATGGACCGGAAACGTACGTTGGACACTTCAGAGATTTTGGATGTCGAGCTCTCTGCCTAGACACAGAACCAGGCCGAAGTAAGCTGGATCAACGCTGTAAGAAAGGCATCTTCTTAGGTTATCCCACTGAGTCTAAAGGCTTCAGAATATGATTACCCGAAGAAAGCAAGGTCATAATATCACGTGACGTCAAATTCATTGAAGACATAAAGTCACCTTCCAAGAACCTCGACCTTTCAATCAACAGCGAATCAGGGCAAGAACCTCTAAATGCGACGAATAAAAAACTCAAATCCCTCGAAGTCGAATTACTTCCTACAGCCGCAGAATTATTCGTCGGAAACTCGTCCAATGAGGAACAACATGCTGAAGACAGCGACGACGACGAAATCGCATCTGAGCAACCGCAGCCTTCAGCGAGGGGGTGAGGAAGGCCCAGTATTCTGAGGACCGGACAGAGAGAAAGACCTCGCAAGGTTTATTCGTCGGCTGATCCCCACGCCGGATACACTCAGAAAGAGATAATCGCTCTGGTATCTAAGGTGACAATGAAACAAGCTCTGTTGAGTCCAGAAGCGGAAGAATGGCACGACGCCATGGTAACCGAAATCAAGTTTGTCATACGAAATGACACATGGCAACTCGTGGATCTACCAAAAAATTCCACTACTATCGGCAGTCGCATCGTCTTGCGAAACATATTTAATTCAGACGGCTCCCTTCACAAACGCAAGGCACGTCTGGTCGCTCAAGGTTTCAGCCAGCAGCCAGGACTACACTTTAGCGAAGTCTTCGCACCAGTAGTTCGACAGGGAACGATACGTCTAATCGCAGCATTATCAGCTCGCCTAGGCATGAAGATACATCATTTCGACATAACCAACGTCTATCTAAACAGCGACCTACAAGAACAGATCCTTATGGAACCTTCCAAGTAACTAACCGGGATTCTAAGGACAATCTCAGCGGACAATCACGATCCAGATTTGGCAATCAAGGCCGACAAAATGCTTCAGGATCTGCTAAGCAAAGATAAAGTATGCCTTTTAAAAAGGTCACTATATGGTCTTCGCCAAGCCGGAAGAAACTGGAACTCAAAACTAGACGAGACATTGAGAAGTTTCGGCGCTATCCCTTCAGACGCCGATCCCTACCTATACATTTACGGAAAAAGGAAGGACTTCACCACCGTTGCAGTATACGTCGATGACATACTAATTGCTTACCGCAACTCCAAGACCATCGTGAAATTTCGCGATAAGATGTCAAGACATTTCGAAGTAAAAAACCTCGGCGAGGTGACCTACTGTCTTAACATCGAATTCAACGTCAACAAAAACGTGGTAACTATGCACCAGCGAGGCTACATCGACGACTTAATCAAACGATTCGGGATAACCGACTGCAATCCAGTCAGCACACCGGTGGACCCAAGCGTGAAACTCACCAAGAACAAATCGAATCCCGACGAAGAAGAGCCAAACTTCCCTTATCGAGAACTTGTGGGCGCACTAACCTATCTAGCCGTAACAACGCGTTCCGACATAAGCTACGTTGTTAGCTATCTGGGGCAATTCAACAATGGCTACAGCAAGGAATACTAGACTGCCGCGAAGCGTGTTCTTCGATGTCTCAAGGGTTCCAGAGACCTAGAACTCGTTTATCGGGGAGACTCGAAGCCCATCGAAGGCTTCGTAGATGCTGACTGGGGCAGTTGCCCAGAGAATCAAGAGGTCACACCGACTTCCTATTCAAATTATCCGGCAGCCCCATATCCTGGGACTCTAGGAAACAACCGACCGTTGCCCTGTCGTCAACCGAGGCGGAATACATGGGACTGACCGAATATGCCAAGGAAGCAATCTTTTTACGTAGATTCCTGGAACAACTTGGACTCCCTGAACTCGCCGACATTACAGTTTTCAACGACAACATGGGCGCATTGAAACTGGCTAAGAACCCAGTCTTTCGTTCTCGGAGTAAACATATCGATATGCGTCATCACTTCATTCGCGAAACCCTAAGCAAGGGATTATTGAAGGTGGCTTACATTCCCTCGGACAACATGCCTGCTGATATGCTCACCAAGGGACTCCCGAGACCAAAGCACGTCAAATGCACGGAGACATCCGAACTGCATCACGCCTCTCTGGGGCGCAACTGATCATAGATCGAGGGAAGGTGTTAGCGCCAACAGCGTATCATTGTGGCAATCTACGAACAGACCCTTTACATAAAACCCAGGCTTGATGATTTACCGTGCACTCCCACCGCGCACGTATCGTACACCATACTCTCTCGTCATTATCTCGCGTATTGTAAAGCAGCGCTCGTCTGTATGTCTTGTGCTTCTCCAACGAATAAAGAACATTGTAGTGATTATTCGTGTCTTCCGATCATCTCTCACAACTCCACGACCTCCGTAATCCTAATAGTCTTCATAATCAAACAAACCTCCAAATTTAGTTCATCACACCCATCTTTTTACTTTCGATAGCTTGTAATTTAGATCTATCGCATCGATAATTATTTTTGATAGCTTTTTTTCGGAAATAAATTGCACCAAAGTCATTATGGCGAATTCGATTGGAAGCACTGATACATATTAAAGCCGTTGTACACTGATTTAACCTTTTGCTCTACTTTTCTTTTACAAATTAAAAAAAAATTAAGCTTTATAAGAACGACTTACCACGGCTCTCACCCGTGATGCTCATGTTTGGCCCGATTTCCTTACCACGAGTCTCACACGATATTGTAGGCGAAAGAGTTAATATGAGTATAAAAATAAAATGCGAATATTTCAAATCATAAAATACACATTTTACCTAACAGTACAATAAAATGTATTGAGTATTTTACAATTTAATCGATTTCTATGTTCATAAACGCATATTTACGTTATTTTGTGTATGTACGGCGGTTTTAATATGCATCAGTGTGCATTGACTGTGAGTGCATTCAATCAAATTTGCTATTAGTTTTATTTTTGTCCATTATTGTTGCAAAATGCTTAATCACGATTTTATTTAATGAACAATGCCTTTATAATCTTTATTATTCGTAATTCACAATATTAGGTATGCATATACTATATATTATGACATGCTGCCCTCTCTCAGTAAGTTACTAAAATCTCTAAAATATTCTTTCCTTCGAGAAGGCAGACTTGAAATCCGTTTATGAAACAAGGAGACCTTGGAGAATCGAGGAATCCTTTATGAAAGCTTCGCCCCATCCTTAAAATAAGGAAGGACTATAAATACGGGTGATAGTTTTATTGTTTGGTACGGAATATATCCATGAGTTCTTTTTATTTAATCCACAACGTATGTAGTAACGTGACGAGTTTATTGTCGCAATTGTCGTAATGATTTTTTTCGTTTAAATACATTTGTACTTCACATATAACGTTTTTGTTTATTCGCTTTACAATGTAGTTTTGCTCGCATTAGTGATTTAAATTTATTGTTATACACTCACGTACGTCTTTGCTTGTCATCGCGTGATGTAGGTGTGTCTGTCTGAGTATTGCTATTAAGTCATTATCTATTTTATTGATACAAATATATCGTCGTGGTCGGACACAGATGCGGATGAAACATATCGTACGTCGGTGATGTCGTTAAAGGGAATCGTAATATAGTATACCAGGTATGTAAATATGAAACCGGAATTTACCAATAAATGGCCATAGCTGTCAATGTAGTTGCCGTCAGACCGCGTCATTGACGCCATTTCCTTGTTCTGACATCTGACAAAGATTTTCAACTCACAACAATACAAGTTTCATACAAC